GCTCCCATTATTATCATACTGACATTAGTTCATCATCACCACACCACACTACCACCACACCACACCATCACCACTACAACGCCACCTTACAGATGGACTTCGATGAGATCCTGTATGACCTCGGGGAGTACGGTACCTACCAGAAGATGATCTTGTGGTTCTTGCTGCTACCTGGTACTATGCCCTGCGGCTTCCACGCCTACAACCAGCTCTTCATGGCTTCCACGCCCGACCACTGGTGCAGGGTCCCAAGCCTCGACCACGCCAACCTTTCTCTATACCTCACCAAGAATCTCAGGTGAGACAATTGTAGATGGTAGGTGGCTGCCTGTTGACTAGCTTGCAGTAATAATAATAATAATAATAATAATAATAATAATAATAATAATAATAATAATAATAATAATAATAATACACCGTGTAGGATTTTGGGTAAGACGAGTAATAAAAAATTATTTTAATACAGGAATCACTAAGTGTATTAATACTCATCTTTTTGATGACATCTCAGAACTACTTGCAGCCTCCTCAAGTGTTTCACCTCCGTAGTTCGCCGTCTACAGACTCACCAGGGCTGTGTGGAAGGGGATTACAAATAGGGTTAATACATGCCATGTTGACATATAACTTCGGCCATTACTTGGGTTTGGGCGAATACCCGTATGTCACGACCTCAAATGGAAAGTCCTATTCAGTCAACATCGACCCTAGGCACTGCAGCACTAAATAGGCAGACCTAAGTAATTTAGAGCTTACTTGGCTCATTGTAACGGGAGCATGTGACGTCTTGTCGTTCCTGAGACTGAAATTGTTGGCTTGATTTAAGAGATGACGCTGGACGCCTCCACTTCGTCTTCTGCTTGGCACGCGTCACCTGACGAATGAGCCACACGGGAGTAGTACTCCCGTAGTACTTGTTATACTCGTTGACATGTTCGTATCTATTCATGGTAGGAAGAATGTCTAATTTTCCTGGAGATCGTCAATCCACGGCACGGGAACACACACACGAAACCGGCCACGAATGTTTCAATGTCGGGTGGCCGGACTGGGCACCCGGCCACCTCGTCACCCGGCCACCTCGTCACCCGGCCACCTCGTCACCCGGCCACCTTGTCACCCGGCCTTCACACACACGTTCACTTACCGAAATCAAATTTCACTCTCGACTGAATGTATGTTGTTGCTAGCTCCTGTCCTCTTTTATGGACGGATATCTGCTGACCTAGCGTCTACAGACGTTACTGCCAGTTCTCTCAATACAAACAAAATAGGCTGGTTCCTTCAGTCTGAGATGCAGGTTAATAAAAATAATGCCTCTTAAGTATATTATCAGTTTCCAGGCATATATTTCCGGATTTTTTTTCCCGTTCTTGGGGAAACAGCAATTTCCCTAAACTAACACGCGGGTGTACAGTCTAGCAGAGACTTTCGTAATGAGGGAAGAGTTCTCCAGAAGATGCATATGTATCTGATCTATGATCGGATAACGAACTAATCTTGCATGGTAATGAACACGTGCAAGCTGAGCTGTTGTTTCGGCATACATTATTCAATCTTTCTTCATCTCCAGACCTTGAGCGTCGCCGCCTTGAGAGGGGTCGCAGCTCCCTTGATATAGGTCGCAGTCCCCGCTGAGAGGGGGGGGGTCGACGCCCCACCAGGGGCTGGGGAAAAAATCTACAAATAATACCCTTCAAGAGAGGGTCCTTGACGCTGGTGAGGGGCTCTTGATCTAGGGAATTGGATCTGTGCTTCAGTTCCCTGAATTAAGCCTGAATACCTTCCATCTACCACCCCATCCACAAGCGTTGTATAATCCCTATGGGTTTAGCGCTCCCCATGTTTATAATAATAATCCACAAAATAACAATAAACACTACTACTACTAATCTTTCTACTACTACTACTTTACTACTCACTAAATCCAACTACTACTACTACTACACTTCCCACTTACTACTACTTACCACTCCTACTCTACTTTCTACTACTACCACTCCTACTACTCACTACTACTACCACTCCTACTACTACTACTACTACTACCCAAAATACTACTACTCCACTCCTACTCTTTACTACTACCACTCCTACTTTTCTACTACTTTCCACTCCTACTACTACTACTACTACTACCCCCTACTACTTACCCACTACCACCCTACTTACTACTACTATACCCTCATCTCTTACTACTACCCACTATCTACACTCCTACTACTATACTTTCTACTACCACTCCTACTACTACTACTACACTCTACACTACTACTACTTTCACTCTAAACTACTAATACTACTACCACTCCTACTACTACTACTACTACCACTCCTACTTTCTACTACTACTCTACCACTCTACTACTACTACTACTACACCACTCCTACTATACTACTACTACCACTCCTACTACTACTACTACTACACCAAATCTCTTCTACACTTTCTACTACTACCACTCACTACTACTACTCTACCCACTCCTCTACTACTACTACTACCACTCCTATACTACTACTACTACCACTTAACTACCTACCCCTCTTTTACTACCACTCCTTTCTACTTTCTACCACTCCACTCTATACTACTACTTACTACCACTCTTACATTACTTAAATACTACTACTACCACTCTTTCTAAACTATACTACTACCAAATCCTTTTCTACTACTACTACACCACTCTTATTTTTACTTTACTACTTTATTAAAACTACCTCTTAAATACTACTACTACTACCCACTCTTACTTCTACTACTACCACTCTTACTACTACTACTACTACCACTCTTACTACTACTACCATCTTACTATACCACTCCACTACTACTACTACTACACCTTACATACTACTATCCACTCTTACTACTACTACACTTCTACTACTTACCACTCTTCTACTTACTACTATACTACCACTCTACTATCTACTATACCCCTCTTACTAATATACTACTACTACCACTCTTACTACTACTTTCTACTACCACTACTACACTACTCTACCATCTATACTACTACTTCCACTCTTACTCTACTATACTACCACTCTTCACTATACTACCACTCTTTCTCTACTACTTTCTACCCTCTTACTACTATACTACCATCTTACCTACACACTCTTTCTCTACTATCCTCTTCCACTCTTACTCTTCTACTACTATACCACTCTTACTACTAATAACTAATACTCTATACTTACTACTCCCCTACTTACTATACTACTACTACTACCCCTCTTACTACTACTACTACTACTTATACTACTCTTTTTAACACTATTACTACTACTACTACCACTCTTACTACTATTATTACCACTCTTACTTCTACTACTACTACCTACTCTTACTACGTACTACTATACTACCACTTCACTACTACTACTACTTTCACCTATACTACACTCTTACTATGACTACCACCCTCTACTACTTTACTACCACTCTTACTATCTTCCTAAATACTACCACCTCTTACTACTCTACTACTACTACTACCCCTCTTACTACTCTACTACTATTTCTCACTCTACTACTACATACCACTCTTACTCTTACTTAACTCTTTCAAATCTACTACTTACTTTCCACTCTTACTACTACTACCACTCTTACTACTTACTCTCTACTACTACTACTAAAACTCTTTCTACCACTCTTACTATACTACTACTCTTTATATCTACTAAATACCACTCTTTCTACTACTAAATACTCACTCTTTTACTTACTCCCTCTACTACCACTCTTACTACTATATACTACTAAATTACTACTAACTACCACTCTTACTACTACTACTACTACTACCATTCTTACTACTACTACTACTACCAATTACTACCACTCTTACTACTACTACTACCACTCTTATACTGACTACTACTCTACCCCTCTTACTACTACTTTCTACCACTCTTACTTTCTACTCATATACCACTCTTATATACTACTTCTACACTACTACCATCTTACTACTACCCTACCTACTACTACTACACTCTTACTACTACTTTCTACCACTCTTATCTACTACTACTACCACTTTTATACTACTTTCTACCACTCTTATTATACTACTACTACTTCACCACTCTATTACTACTACTTTTACTACTACCACTCATTATTTCTATACTACCACTACCACTTTACTAACTACCCCTCTTACTACTACTACTACTTATACTACCTACCTACTAAATACTACCCACTCCCCTTTCAAAACTTTCACTACCAAATTACTACTACTACTACAAAACACTCTTACTACTACTACACTACTACCAACCTTACTACTACTACCACTTTATACTACTACTACCACTTCCTACTCTTTCTCTACTACCACTCTTATTTTCTACTCTACTACCACTCTTACTACTTTCTACTACCACACCTCTTACTACTACTACTACCACTTTACTACTATATACTCTTACTAAATACCACTACTACTACACTCTCTACTACTACTACACTCTTTTTCTACTATACTACTACCACTCTTTCTACTTTCTAACTACTTCACTCTACTACTACTACCAAACCTCTTATACTACTATCCACTCTTTACTACTACTACTACCACTCTTACTACCTTTCTTTCTACCACTCTTAAATACTACTACTACCACTATTTATTTCTACTACTACTCCTTCTTATTACTACTATACTACTACTACCACTCTTACTACTACTACTACTACCACTCTTACTACTACTACTACTACTACTGCCACTCTTATTACTACTACTACTACCACTCTTACTACTACTACTACTACTACTGCCACTCTTATTATTACTACTACTACTACCACTCTTATTACTACTACTACTACTACCACTCTTATTACTACTACTATTACTACTACCACTCTTATTACTACTACTACTGCCACTCTTATTATTACTACTACTACTACCACTCTTATTACTACTACTACTACTACCACTCTTATTACTACTACTACTACTACCACTCTTATTACTACTACTACTACTACTACTACCACTCTTATTATTACTACTACTACCACTCTTATTACTACTACTACTACTACCACTCTTATTACTACTACTACTACTACTACTACCACTCTTATTATTACTACTACTACCACTCTTATTATTACTACTACTACTACTACTACTACCACTCTTATTACTACTACTACTACTACTACTACCACTCTTATTATTACTACTACTACTACTACTACCACTCTTATTATTACTACTACTACCACTCTTATTATTACTACTACTACTACTACTACCACTCTTATTACTACTACTACTACCACTCTTGTTACTACTACTACTACTACTACCACTCTTATTACTACTACTACTACCACTCTTATTATTACTACTATTACTACTACCACACTACTACTACTACTACTACTACTACTACCACTCTTACTACTACTACTACTACTATTATTATTATTACTACTCCTATTACTGTTACTGCTACTATTACTACTCTTATTACTACTACCACTCTTATTTCTACTATACTATCACTCTTACTTCCACTACTACTTACCTCTTACTACTACTACTACACTCTTATTACTACTACTACTACTACTCTTACTACTACTACTACTACTACACTCTCACTTATATACTACTATCCTCTTACTACTACTATACTACCACTCTTACTACTACCACTATACCACTCTTTATTTATATACTACCACTCTTACTACTACTACTACTACCACTCTTATTACTACTCTCTACCACTCTTACTACTACTTACTACTCTTTATTTACTACTACTACTACCATCTTATTACTACTACTACTATTACTACTACCACTCTTATTACTACTACTACTACTTATACCACTCTTACTTACTACTACTACTACCACTCTTATACTACTCTACTACCACTCTTACTACTACTACTACTTACTCACTGCCACTCTTATTACTACTACTATACCACTCTTACTACTACTATACTACTACATGAACACTTTTATATTACTACTACTACTACCACTCTTATTACTACTACTACTACTTACACTCTTATTCTACTCACTATTACTACTACCATCTTATTACTACTCTACTGCCACTCTTATTATTACTACTACTATTACCATTTATTATTACTACTACTACTTAACCACTATATTACTACTATACTACTACCCACGCTTATTACTACTACTATACTACTACTACCACTCTTATTATTACTACTACTACCACTCTTATTACTACTATACTACTACCACTCTTATTACTACTACTACTTATACTACTACCACTCTTATTATTATACTACTACCACTCTTATTATTAACTACTACTACTCTACTACTACCACTCTTATTACTTACTACTACTACTACTACTACCACTCTTATTAATTACTTACTACTACTACTACTACCACTCTTATTATTACTACTACTACCACTCTTATTATTTACTACTACACTTCTACTACCACTCTTATTACTACTACTATACCCTCTTTGTTACTACTTACTACTACTACTACCACTCTTATTTCTACTATACTACCATTTATTTTACTACCTATTACTACTACCACCACTACTATACTACTACTACTACTACTACCACTCTTACTACTACTACTACTACTATTATTATTATTACTACTCCTATTACTGTTACTGCTACTATTACTACTACTACTATTACTACTACTACTGCTACTTCTACTGTTCCTGCTACTTCTATTACTAATAATAATGATATGCTATCCCCGGCAGCATCCCGTACGACAACGAGACGCAGCAATACAGCCGCTGCCTGAGGTACGACTACAATTACACGGAACAGTTTGAGACTCTGGATGACCTCTCTCAGGTGTGGGGAAGAGGAGGGGTCACCCGACCTCCCGACACCACCAAGGTCATCCCTTGTGACCTAGGGTGGCACTATGACCTCGAGAAGCACGCCACCTCCGTTGTGTCTGACGTGAGTGCCAGACGTTTGATGTTTCCCTCTCATCTTAGGTCACTGTGTGGCCTCCCAGGTCACCATACGTCATTGTATGACCTCCCAGGCCAGCAGAAGTCACTGTGACCTCTCAGGTCAGCAGGTAAACACTTATGTCAGGTCGCCGTAAGTTAACGCGGATTAACTCTTACTCAAACTGGAATTAAGAGTTAAATTCTGACACTGAACCTTTTAATACTCTGAGTGAGTTGAACTTACCACTCTGAGTGAGTTGAACTTACCACTTTGAGTGAGTTGAACTTACCACTCTGAGTGTGATTGAACTTACCACTCTGAGTGAGTTTTGAACTTACCACTCTGAGTGAGTTGAACTTACCACTCTGAGTGTGTTGAACTTACCACTCTGAGTGAGTTGAACTTACCACTCTGAGTGAGTTGAACTTACCACTCTGAGTGTGTTGAACTTACCACTCTGAGTGAGTTGAACTTACCACTCTGAGTGAGTTGAACTTACCACTCTGAGTGTGTTGAACTTACCATGAGTGATGTATGAACTTCCACTCTGAGTGAGTTGAAACTTACCCTCTGAGTGTGTTGATACTTACCACTCTGGAGTGGTTGAACTTACCACTCTGAGTGTGTTGAACTTACCACTCTGAGTGAGTTGAAACATTCCACCTCTGAGTGAGTTTGAATTACCACTCTGAGTGTGTTGAACTTACCACTCTGAGTGAGTTGAACTTACCACTCTGAGTGAGTTGAACTTACCACTCTGAGTGTGGTTGAACTTACCACTTGAGTGAGTTGAACTTACCACTTCTGAGTGGTTTGAACCTTACCATCTGAGTGAGTTGAATTAACCCATTGAGGGTTGAACTTACCACTCTGAGTGGTGTTGAACTTACCACTCTGAGTGTGTTGAACTTACCACTCTGAGTGAGTTGAACTTACCACTCTGAGTGAGTTGAACTTACCACTCTGAGTGAGTTGAACTTACCACTCTGAGTGAGTTGAACTTACCACTCTGAGTGAGTTGAACTTACCACTCTGATGTGAGGTTGAACCTTACCACTCTGAGTGAGTTGAAACTTATACCACTCTGAGTGTGTTGAAACTTACCATCTGCCAGTGAGTAGAATCTTACACTCTGAGTGAGTTGAACTTACCACTCTGAGTGAGTTGAACTTACCCCATCTGAGTGAGTTTTGAACTTACCACTCTGAGAGTGTTGAACTTACACTCTGGTGAGTTGAACTTACACTTGAGTGAGGTTGAACTTACCAACTCTGAGTGAGTTGAACTTACCACTCTGAGTGGTTGAAACTTTACCACTCTGAGTGAGTTGAATTACACTCTGAGTGAGTTGAAACTTACCACTTTGAGTGAGTTGAACTTACCACTCTGAGTCGAGTTGAAACTTACCACTCTGAGGTGAGGTGAAATTACCACTCTGAGTGAGTTGAACTTACCACTCTGAGTGAGTTGAACTTACCACTCTGAGTGAGTTGAACTTACCACTCTGAGTGTGTTGAAACTTACACTCTGAGGTGTTAACTTACCACTCTGAGTGAAGTTGAACTTACCACTCGAGTGAGTTGAACTTACCCACTCTGAGTGTGTTGGAACTTACCACTCTGATGTGAGTTGAACTTACCACTCTGAGTGAGGTGAATTACCACTCCCCCCCCAAGGGGGGGGGGGGGAGTGTGTTGAACTTACCACTCTGAGTGTGTTGAACTTACCACTCTGAGTGAGGTGAACTTACCACTCTGAGTGTGTTGAACTCTTACCACTCTGAATGAGTTTTGAATTACCACTCTGAGTGAGTTGACTTACCACTCTGAGTGTGTTGAACTTACACTTGAGTTGTGTTGAACTTACCACTCTGAGTGAGTTGAACTTACCACTCTGAAGTGAGTTGAACTTACCACTATGAGTGAGTGAACTAACCACTCTGGGAGTGTGTTTGAACTTACCCCTCTGAGTGAGTTGAACTTACCACTTGAGTGAGTTGAACTTTTACCACTCTGAGTGAGTTGAAGTTACACTCTGAGTGTGATGAAATTCCCATCAGAGTTTGAGTTGGAACTTACCACTCTGGTGTGTTGAACTTACCACTCTGAGAGTGAGTTGAACTTACCACTCGAGTGTGTTGAATTTTACCACTCTGAGTGAGTTGAACTTACCACTCTGAGTGAGTTGAACTTACCACTCTGAGTGTGTTGAACTTACCACTCTGAGTGAGTTGAACTTACCACTCTGAGTGAGTTGAAAAACTTTACCACTCTGAGTGAGTTGACTTACCACTCTGAGTGTGTTTGAACTTACCACTCTGAGTGAGTTTTGAACTTACCATCTGAGTGAGTTGAATTGCACTCTGAGTGAGTTGAACTTACCACTCTGAGTTGAGTTGAAACTTACCACTCTGAGTGGCGCGCGCGAACTTACCATCTGAGTGTGTTGAACTTACCACTCTGAGTGTGTTGAACTTACCACTCTGAGTGATGTTGAACTTACCACTCTGAGTGTGTTGAACTTACCACTGCTGGTGTCGTTGAAGTTACCACTGGATTGTGTTGAACTTACCACTCTGAGTGTGTTGAACTTACCACTAGAGTAAGTGTTGAATTACCACACTAAGTGGGTTGACTTACCACTCTGAGTTGTGTTGAACTTACCCATTGAGTGTGTTGAACTTACCACTCTGTGAGTTGTGTTGAACTACCACTCTGAGTGTGTTGAAACTTACCTCTCTGAGTGAGTTGAACTTTACCACTATGAGTGAGTTGAACCTTACCAACTCTGAGGTGAGTTGAACTTAACCACTTGAGTGAGTTGCAACTTACCACTCTGAGTGAGTTGAACTTACCACTTCTGAGTTGTGTTGAACTTACACTCTGAGTGTTTTTTGAACTTACCACTCTGAGGTGTGTTGAACTTACCACTCTGAGTGTGTTGAACTTACACTCTGAGTGTGTTGAAATTACCACTCTGAGTGTTTTGACTTACACTCTGAGTGTGTTGAACTTACCACTCTGAGTGTGTTGAACTTACCACCCCAAGTGCGTTGAACTTACCACTCTGAGTGTGTTGAACTTACCACTTCTGTGTGTGTTGAACTTACCACTCTGGTGTGTTTGAAACATTACCACCCTAAGTGTGTTTGAACTTACCACTCTGAGTGTGTTGAACTTACACCCTGAGGAGTTGAAATTCCTATCCTTACCACCCTAAGTGTGTTTGAACTTACCACTCTGAGTGGAGTTGAACTTACCACCCTAAGGTGTGTTGAACTACCCACTATGGTGGTTGAACTTCACCACCCTAAGTGTGTTGAATGCCACTCTGAAGTGAGTTGGAACTTACCACCTTAAGGTGTGTTGAAACTTAACCACTCTGAGTGGTTGAATTACCACCTAAGTGTGTTGAACTTACCACTCTGAGTGTGTTGAACTTACCACCCTGGTGTGTTGAACTTACCACTCTAAGTGTGTTGAACTTACCACCCTGAGTTGTTGAGCTTACCACCCCTAAGTGTGTTGAACTTACCACCCTAAGTGTGTAGTGTAGAATTACCACCCTAAGTGTGTTGAACTTACCACTCTGAGTGTGTTGAACTTACCACCCTAAGTGTGCTGAACTTACCACACACACTCAGAGTGGTAAGTTTAACACACTTAGTGTGGTAAGTTCAACACACTTAGGTGGTAAGTTCAACACACTTAGGGTGGTAGCTCAATAACTCAGGTGGTAAGTTCCACACACTTAGAGTGGTAAGTTTTCAACACATCGGAGTGTAAGTTCAACACTTAGGGTGGTAAGTTTTCAAACTCACTCAGAGTGGGTAAGTTCAACACACTTAGGGTGGTAAGGTCAACTTACCACTCTGAGTGTATCGAACTTACTACTCTGAGTGAGTTGAACTTACCACTCTGAGTGTGTGAGCTTACCACCTGAGTGTGTTGAACTTACTTACTCTGAGTGTGTTGAACTTACCACCTGAGTGGTTGACTTACCACTCTGAGTGTGTTGAACTACCACTATGAGGGTGTTGAATCTTCCTTACCACTCTGAGTGTGTTGAACTTACCACTCTGGTGTGTTGAACTTACCACCCTGAGTGTGTTGATACTTACCACCTGAGTGGGTTGAAACTTACCACTCTGAGTGTGGATTTGAAACGTCCACTTGAGTGTGTTGAAACTTACCACCCGGATCGTGTGTTTGAACTTACCACTCTGAGTGAGTTGAACATTACCATCTGAGTGAGTTGTCACACAGAACTTACCACTCTGAGTGTGTTAACTTACCTCCTGATGTGTGTTGGAACTTTACCACTCTGAGTGAGTTGAACTTACACACTTGAGTGTGTGAAGCTACCACTCTGAGTGTATTGAACTTACCAACTCTAGAGTGAGTGAACATACCACTCTCGAGTGTGTTGAAAACTTACCACCCTGAGTGTGTTGTGAACTTACCCCCTGAGTGTGTTGAGCTTACCACTCTGAGTGTGTTGAACATACCACCCTGAGTGAGTTGAACTTACCACCTTGAGTGTGTTGAACTTACCACTCTGAGTGTGTTGGAATTACCACTCTGAGTGTGTTGAAACTTACCACCCTGAGTGAGTTTGAACTTACCACTCTGAGTGTGTTGAACTGACCACTCTGAGTGTGTTGAACTTACCACTTGATGTGAGTTGAACTTATCACTCTGAGTGTGTGAAAGCTTACCACTGCTGACTGTGTTGAACTTACCACTCTGAGTGTGTTGAAACTTACAACCCTGATTGGAGTTGAAACTTCCACTCTGAGTGTGTTGAACTTACCACTCTGAGTGTGTTGGGAATTACCAATCTGAGTGTGTTGAAAACTTACCACTCTGAGTGTGTTTGGATTTTACCACTCTGAGTGTGTTGAACTTAACCACTCTGAGTGACGTTTGAACTTACACCCTAAGTTTGTTGAACTTCCACTCTGAGTGTGTTGAACCTTACACCCTAAGTGTGTTGAACTTACA